TATATATTTGAAAGGGTTTAGCTGATTGAGCCCTCCCTGCCGGGGTCGGAACATGCTGAGGCCTGTGGCAAGGCCTGGACACTGAGTGGGGGGCAAGTGCTTGAAGTGTGCCAAGGGCCCGGCATGGGTCTGAGCCGACCCACTTCTGCATCACGCCTCCCCGGCCCAGTCCTGGTCCCAATGTCTGCAGCCCCACCATGCCTGCATCTTCCGATGCACGGCGACCCCTCATCTCCACCTGGTGCTGCAGTTGGATCCCCGTGGAGAGTGTGCACCACCACCATCCGGGAAGCCCCGGCCAGGCTGTGTGGTAGATCAAGGGGCTGCAAGGCCTCTAAGTCCGAGGGTGGTCACCCCTCTGGTTATTGAGGGTGAAGGCTGGCAAGCTGGTGACCTCCAAGAAGGAGAATTTTAAGGGCCCTGTAGGCAGAAAGCTTTGCTGCCAGCCCCCATCCCCAGGCCTTCTCCAGCTGGAGCCACAGACATCGGTTCTAAAATAGAGAGTTGAATGAACTGCATGAGGGACCGGGTTTGGAAAAGCAGGGCTTGCTGGAGCACCCACCTGCTGAGCCATGTATGTGGACCTGAGCCACAGAAGTGAGTATTTGAGAGACAACGTAGGAATATCTGTTCTACACCCCCTTTACCTGCCCTCTTTCTCCTCTCCAACTCCTTTGGCCTCCAAGATTGGAAACCATAAGAAAACAAAGAGCCATCTTTGTGGAAGAATTAATATTCAGGAAAAGCAAATATTAACCTATCTTGAAATACCTCTTTCCCTTAAGCAGGAGAGAACCCAAAAGAGATTGAAAATTAGGGCATTCATTGTGATTCTGCACTGCACCTCATCCTTTTTGGAGATGAAAAGATTAGAAAATTTGGGAAATAAAGGCCATATTCCTTAAAAAAATGGTCTGATGAAGTCACTATATGCTCTTTGATTCATTTGCCACCAATTGGTGCTTGGACTGTTGCTCCTGCAAGTACTTGGGTTTATAATTAATTTTTTTTTTCTTTTTTACTGTGCATGAGTGCTTTGCCTGGTTGTAACTTCACCTGTGTTGTGCAATGACCACAGAGGTCAGAAGAAGGCATCAGATTCCCCTGGAACTGGAGTTAATATGTCTAAGGGACAAAGAAGAAAGTCTTCAGAAGAGAGTTTATAGCACTATGTGTCTACATTAAAAAAACAAACAAAAAGGAAAAACTGGAGAGATTTCTTACTAATAACTTTTAAGTTATTAAGTTATCACTTAAGATACCCCTGAAGGCTTTGGAAAAATAAGAACAAACACCATCCAAAAAGAGTAAATGGGAAGAATTAATCAAATGTAGGGCTGAAATTAATTAGGAACAAACAAACAGAAAACAACAGTACAAAGAATCAGTGGAAAGAAGTGATCCTTTGAACAGATTGACAAATACTTAGACAAATTAACCGAAAGAAAGAAAGGAGCTGAATTAGTAAAATCAGATAGCAAAAAAGAAATGTTCCAAGAAATAATGAACAGAATCTAAGCACATCCATTAAAAATTCATATTCTGTTTACCTGGAAAATCTAAAAGAAATGGATTAAGTTTTAGATGTAAATGGCTTACAAAAGTTAAAACAAGTTGAAGTAAATGATTTAAATGGACCTTTAACAACCAGTAAGATAGAAGTTATTACTACAAATCTCCCAACTGAAAATGCCAAGGACTTGATGAAAGAAATAACACCAATACTCCACAAATTATTCCATACAATAGAAATGGAAGAAAAAGTTCCAAGTTTTTTGGTGGTCACTATTACCTTGGTAGTCAAACAGATAAAAAACACTCAACAAAAAATTGTATGCCAATCTGATAAATATAGACAAAAAAATTCCCCAAAACACCCCACTTGCACACTAAATGCAAGAACACATCAAAAAAAGATTATCTACCAAGATCAATTTGGCTTCATCCCAGATAAAGAGAAGATGCTTCAACATACATAAATCCATAAATTTGATCCACCACATAAATACACTTCAGGTCAGAAAACACCCGATCATCCCATTAGATATAGACAAGACCTTTGACAAAATGTAACATCCCTTCATCATAGAAGTCATGGAGAATCTAGGGACACGGGGGATAGATCCCAACATAATAAAGGCATTATAGAAACCCAAAGACAGTACACGCTAAACGGACAAAAACTCAAAGCATTTCTATGACAATCAGGAGCAATGAAAAGACCAATTTTCTCCACTGAACTCCACTTATTAGCTAGAGTAATAAGGCCAGTACAAGAGGTAAAGGGGAGAAAATTAGAAAGGAAGAAGTTAAAATATCCTGATTTGCTGATGATATTAAGTTATGGTCCCAAGACCCCTGGGAAGGACCACTCAGATTCCAGATGTTCTGAATTAGCCAAATTTTATTTAGCTTGCCAGTGACTGCATTCTCTGGGTTGGAATTTAGAGAGTACAGCCCCAACTCAGAGGAGAGCAAAGTTTATAAAGGTAAAAATCACTTTCTGGTGAAACAGGCAGTTACTATAAACAAGCAGTTACACAAGCGAGCAGTTACAGAAGCCAGATAAGTAAGCAGTTACAAAAACAAGATAAGGAATTAATTTTTGGTTATTTCTTCCTGGAACAGCTCTTCCTGGAACTGCCTTCCCAGGTCAGGGCAGGGTCATAAATAGCTCATCAAGATGGGGCCCCATACAAAATGAAGAGCTTAGGTTAACAAAATTCTATACAAAAATAGACACTAGGGCTGGAGGGATAGTCCAGCCATTAAAGGCTAAGGCTAACAACCAAAATGTTTAAAGTTCTATTCACAAAAATAGACGCTAAAGACTTTGACAGAAAGCTCCGAAAGCTGATAAACATATTCAGCTAAGTAGCAGGATATAAAATTAGCCCAAAGATTCAGTAGCCTACATATACAGCAACAACAAAAATGCTGAAAAAGAAACCAGGGGAGCAATCCTATTCACAGCAGTCTCAGAAAATGGAAAATATGGAGTAAATCAATGAGGGAAGTGAAAAACTTGTATAACAAAATCTTTAAAAACTGAAAAAACAAAGAAGATACTAGAAGATGGAAAGACCTCCCATTCTCATGATCAGGAGGATTATTATTGAGAAAATAACCTTCCTACCAAAAGCAATGTACAGATTCAATGCACTCCCCCCCTTAAAATCCCAGTAAATTCCTCATAAAAATTATTTTCAAAAAACCCTTCAAATTGGATTTAAGTCTTGCTTCACAAGATGGAGCCTATATCTGCCACTGTTATCAGGGCTAAGAACCTGTGTTAGAAAAGTCACAGGCCATAGGGGGGATCCCACTACTGTTATTCTGCTGAATGGACATTGCATCAAAGCAATTCCTAGTGACTTTTTGTCATAACTGTGCATTAACGCTTCTCGAAACTCTCACCAGAATGGTTTCTTCTTGTAGCAGATCATACCTAATACAGAGACCCACACCTAGTCAATGTGTAGAGAATGAGAGTCTGCAGAGTTCTCAGCCTCAGTGGACACCTGTATCACCCCTCCTCCTCCAAAGTCTCAGGGATCGTTGTAGAAGAGGAGACATTAAGACTGCCATAGGTAGTGGATGTAAACAGGAAACAGTGTTTTTATACAAACAACAGTTTTTCTTAAACATGTGACCCCAGGTAGGTTCAACAGGCTCCAGGGTGAGAGCATTTAGAGAACACAAAGTAGACTCAAGAGGTCTTTAAAATAATAATAGAGGACATGAAGATAAGGTGGGTAAAAATGAAAAAGGGGTCTGAATTTTATCAAAATGCACTCTATGAACTTCTCAAAGAATGAATAAAAATATTTTAAAAGATGCTCATAACATTACTGATTGAGTCAAGGTGCTTTTGTATTTCAAATATACCATTTTTTTCTTAATGAAATATTTTCACAATTGAAACACATTCCTGACTATTCTTATTTATGCACACAAAATTTGCTTGGCCTGCTAGTCATAAAGATCGTTTTTTTCTCTCTCTCTCTCTCACCTATTCAAAACACTTTTCTTTATGGTATTTAACAGGGAAATCAGGAAATACATCTTTGGCTTAGTGATTTAACATCTAAGTACAAATTCCTTTCGTATTAATAATCATATAAAAAAAACCCACACTCTTACTCCTGAACTAAGAAGTTCCAGGCATTTAAAGAAATATATCACTGGAGCAGGGTGTGGTGGTGTGTGCTTGAATCACAGTACTCAGGAGGCAGATGCAGATGGAGTTCTGTGAGGTGGAGACCAGCCTGGATTACATAAAGAGTTTCAGGCCACCTGGGGCAACAGTGAGACTCAGTCTCAAAATTAAAACAAAACAAAACAAAAAAAAACCAAGCACAATAACACCAATGGAAACAGAAACAAAAACTCCTGGCACTCCTGGGCCAGCAGGATGGTTCATTGGTTAAAGCCACTAGTTTCCAAGCTGTAAACCTGAGTTCAGCCTCTAGGGCCAACATTGTGGAAAGAGAGAACTGACCCAGGCAAGAAATTTTTTTTGAGTTCCACCCCTAGATGCGGTAAACAGACAGATGACAGACAGACAGACAGACACACATACACACAATATATAATAAAAATACGTTAATAGCTACAAAAATTGAATTCGATGATGTGATACTCTTTACCCAGAATGCACAGTATTTCTGAGATGTGTATATACTTTGGCCAAATTTTCTGAGAATAATGAAAGTATTTCAATGTTATCAGTGGTATGTACATTGAAGAGTGGTCACAATGGTATTGTTATAATTATATTAAACTAATCAATTTACAATTTTTGTACATTGAAAATTGTTTACCAGCTATTATTTCAGAGCATAGGTGCTACGAGAAATATTTTCATACATTTCAAAATAAGATTGGATGTAAAAATTACCTGAACATGATACTTAAGATGATTATAAAAAATATAGGAAACTTTACCTACTTTATAAGAAAAACATGTACCATTGAGATTGTGCCTGTGCCGGTGCCAGCCGGGCAAGACAGACAGTACCTGAAATGGGGAGTGAGGATTGAAAGAAAGAACAAGAGACAGAAAAGATGCTTGGCAGGGCTAACAGTGGTGACTGCAGCCCCGGTTTATTTCAGCTCCACCGTTTTATACAGAACTCAATTAGTATCAATAGCTGTTTTCCCCACCTGTATCTGAGAGTCAAGGAACGGTCAGATACTTCAAAGGCTTCTTTGATCTTTTTGTTTACCACTATTGCCTCAAGGTCAGGTGTTGTGAGGCTCTCCATATAAACACATTCCTCCTGATTAGGCAGATTAGATACTGGTGTGCATAACACAAACTCAGTAAACAAGCCTGCTACAGCACAATGTACATAATAGACAAACAGCTCCCAACATGCCTGACAGCTGATGGCTGCTGAAGGAGAAGGTATCACTTCTTGTTGCAGGTGAAGCTTCTGGCAGGCTGCCCATACCCCAGGGACTGGGCCCACACCCTTGACACAAGTTCAGCAATACCTGGACTCAGCAGTTATTACTACAATTGTAATAAAAGAGGACATGAAGTCAGGAGTGAAACAGGTTGTCTGGTCCTGGTGGGAGTTGGAGGGAGGTAATGGGAGATGGATATGATAAAAAAAAAATTCATGGTGTGGACAAATTTAAATTTAAAGAATAAATAAAAGTGAATTAAAGTGTAAAAATTTAAAAAACATGGGGAAATCTAATCAGGCTGTTAAATAATTTCATTTGATTTTTCAACACCCTTGACAGGTTCCCTAACGCCCCCTTGACATCCTTATTCCTAAGGGTATAAATAAAGGGGTTGAGTGTAGGAGTCACCACCCCATAGAAGAGAGCCATGAACTTGGGCTGGTCTCTTGAGATGGAGGAGGGGGGCTGAAGGTACATGCTAATTCCTGGACCATAGAATAAAGAAACTACAATGAGATGAGAGGAACAAGTCCCAAAGGCCTTCTTCCTTCCCTCTGAAGTTTTGATCTGAAGCACGGCACGCCCAATGCTAATATACGAAGCAAGAATTATACATAAAGGAACAGCTAGTATAAAAGTGCACGCCACCGAAAGGGCCAGCTCATTGACCTTTTTTTCACCACATGCCGTCTTTATCAGAACTGGAATCTCACACAGTATGTGATCCAGTGTATTGGTGCCACATAGTGGCAACTGTAAAGTAAGAGTGGCTTCTGAAACAGCATAGGAAATTCCACACAGCCACATGATAGATACTAACAGGAGGCAGACTCTCTGGTTCATGATGAGGATGTAGTGCAGAGGTCTGCAGATAGCCACATAGCGGTCAAAGGACATGATAGCCAAGAGAAGACACTCTGTGGCCCCCATGGTGCTAAATAAATAAAGTTGAAGTGCACACCCCACGTAGCTGATGGTCTTTGTGGAGCCTCCCAGGTTAAACAGCATCTGAGGCACAATGCTTGTGGTATAGCACATGTCCAGGAATGAGAGGTTGGTGAGGAAGAAATACATGGGGCTGTGCAGACGGGGGTCTAATTTGGATACCAGAATGATGGCGATGTTCCCCACCAAGGCCAGGGGGTATGTTACCAGCAGAACAATGAAGAGAGGGAGCTCCAGCCAGGGATGGTTGGCAAAGCCCAGTAGAATAAACTCTTCAGGGCGGCTGTCATTGACGATTGCCATTCTCTGCATTATGATTCACCTATAGTGAGGAAGAGGCAAAAGGAAGACTTTTGAGGAATGACTACACATTATTTTGCTTTGATTATCCAAGGGTAAAAGAACGGTTGTAGTGATTTGGGGGATAAAAATATAAAGATCTTTGCACTGATGACTCATTCTCTCTTATGACACTAGAGATTAAAATCAGTTGCTTTAAACAGTCTAATCTATTATGTATAATAAGACTCTGTCATTGATTCTCATTAATATAAAATAAAAACATAAGTTGCTGACCTCTGAAATTTATGAAAACTGCTTGTCTAACTTTGGCTGACATAAAACAAAGTATACTATTAAATGATAGTGCTTATCTCTTACATCCAATAGCACAGATGCAGCATGGGACAGCAGACTGATGTGATTCATGTTCAAAGGAGTACTGAAAGAATGTATTGAAACATACTGAAGAGGTTTAGCATTGAAATTGCAAGAATAGGAGAATGATAATACCTATAGTTGACAGAAACATTAAATGAGTAATTTTGCCCAGTACCAGTTAGTCAGTAGAATAATTAGATGTGCTCCATCAGGAGTAAGAAGATTTGGGTATTAAATGATATATCTGGAATATTTAGATCTCAGAAATAAATTTTTAAATTTTTGTTTCATTACATTTCAAAGTTTTATTTGAAGTCCTTTATTTGTAGGCTTCCTTCTACAAAACATAAAACAAGTGGCCCCTGGACAATAGCAGAGCTGTTTCCTCTCAGAGGTAACACAGGAATGGAACTCTGGAAAATAGGCAGTCAGTTAGAATCAGCTTACCTAAGCATATTGCATTTTCTGTAATTGTTACAAAAGAGATTTTCTTACTGTTCCTCCTCAACTGGAAAGAAAAGTCATGTTTTGAGGACAGATTTATTGTTTTTTTGTCTTTATGTTTCAAAGCTTCAGTTTGATATGTGGCATTTACTGGAAATTTCTGTGATCTTGTTTGCTTTGGCCTGTCAGAGCCTACTGAAGTACAATGCTGAACTGAATTTCCCCAGAGAATACACAAGAAGTCTGCCCCTCTGTCAATCACCCCGAAGTATGCAGAAACTGAATGACTCTATTCCCATTCTCTTACCTTTTCCGTGTTACCTCATAATATTTTGTGAACTCCCCTAGATTATATGTCCTTTGTATCTACTGCTCCTAGTTATTTTCATACATGTCACTATGTCTTTATCTAGAAATCTCTAAATCACCTTTGGAAAGTTCAAACTCCACTCTCCTTACATGACCCTAATGTCTGCACTCATGTCCTGTGGTACTGGGTAGTACTCACTCGTCTCTTCTATGACTTCAAATATTTTGTATTTGTTGCTTATCTTACAGAGCTTTATGAAGTAAAATGTCACAAAGGGAAATAAAACATCTTATATGAGACCAAAACTTCTGAAAAATATGTGAACAAGTCACTCTATGAAAATAGACTGGTCATGCAGTAAAAATTATTTATATTAAGGACAATTTCACAAATATATCTACTATTCTGTATGCTAATAAATATATGGCTATGTAACTTGGGCATATTTGGGAATAATGGCTTTATACATCAGGTATTTGTATGCCAGATATAGTAGTTCATGATAGTTTATGCTTTTAGTGATGTTTCAAGTGAGATATTGAAAGACAGAAATGGTCAGTGAACCATGTATTTCCAAGGTTTTGAGAAAACTTTTAAAATTGAAATGCTCTCTGACTGTCAAATGTGTATTAATTGCTATTATCTACACACATTCCAAACATCTCTGAAAATAAATGACCCATAAAATGTGTCTTGTTTCTTACCTTATTTTGATAAACACTCTTCAGTCAGGAGGAAGTATCAAGGAAGGTGTTAGAATGTTTTTGTCAGAGGAGAATTAAGAAACTTTAGTTCATTGATGAACACAGTGCTTAACAATTACCTTCAAGGATCTTAGTTTTTAAATGGTAAACACTAAGCAAAATCAAAGCTGGTTAAGAAGACAATGGTAGAAATGCAGGGAGTGCTTTGTGTGTGCTATTTGTACACTACTCCTGGATCCTCCTGGGATGGTTTTCAAGGAGACCATTTATTCTGCTTTGTACTGGTTAAACTAACAGGAATCGTTGCCAGGGACAGCATTTCATGGATTTTTTTTTCTTCTGTACAATTAAGTATCATCTAAGCCATCTTGGAAGTAAGTCTTTTTGATTAAAACATTTCTTTTAGCTCATTAAACTTACTAATTAACAAGACTCATTTTATGCTTAGTGAGACTTCCTGGGGGAATTCAAACAAATGTCTGTTAACCTAGATAGGGCCCTGAAGACAAACCATAGAAGTGATTCTACCAAAGTTTGACTTGGAGAACTTTATAGGAGCCAGGATGGCTCAAGGGTGCTGCATCACTGAATAGCCCACCCAGAATGGAGAGACTTGAGGCAACCTCATAGTTCATCTCCTGCTGTCAGGTTGGCTAATGGTCTCCTCATGATGGGCGGTGTGAATCTGGTTCTTTTCTGAGACTTCCTGAAACTGCTGAGCTTTCTTCTTCTTGAAACATGAGGCACTTCCCCCTAGGAGGAACTCTTTCAAGGTAGAGGGAATTGTTGCATAGTGTTCATGTACTGATGTGAGAATATATGTATTTATTTTATTACTGACAAATAATAGTTATACAGAGTTGAAGATGCCCCATGTTATTTTGGCACATTTATACACTGTATTGATCAGCTGCAAATATGTTATCCTCACCTCAAATATTTATTATTCACTCATGATGAGTAGTTGCTTCATTAAAAATTATTTTATTTTAATATATGGAAGTTTTTTAGTTTAATGAAATCCCATTTGTTGATTCTTAATCTTGTCTCCTGAGTAATTGATATCTGCTTTAGAAAATCTTTTTCTACACCTATGTCTTGTAGGTTATTGTCAATGTTTTCTTCTAAGAGTTTCAGAGTTTCAGGCTTCACACTGAGGTCTTCAATCTATTTGGAGTTGACTTTTGTGCAAGATTAAAGATTGGGGTTTAGTTTCATTCTTCTACAGGTGGAGATCCTGTTTTGCCAGTACCATTCGCTGAACATGCTGTCTTTCCTCCAGTGAATGTTCTTGGCCCCTTTGTCAAATATCAGGTGGCTAAAATTGCCTATACTCATATTTGAGTCTTTAGTTTTGTTCCATTGATCTACGGGTCTATTTTTGTGCCAGTACCATGTTGCTGTTTACATGACTATGGCGCTGTAACATAGTCTGAGATCTGCTATGGTAATTCCCTTATCATTGCTCTTAGTGCTCAGGATTGCTTTGGCTACCCAGGGTCTTTGGTGCTTCCATATGAATTTTAGCGTGGTTTTTTTTCAATTATGTGAAGAATGTCATGGAGATTTTGATTTGCATTGCATTGAATCTATAAATGGCTTTTGGTAGGATGGTCATTTTCACAATATTAATTCTTCCATTCCATGAGCATGAGAGGTCCTTCTATCTTCTGATATCTTCCTCAATTTCTTTTTTTAAAGATTAAAATTTTCATTGTAGAGGTCCCTAATGTCTTTGGTCAGGTATATTCTGAGATATTTTATTGTCTTATTGAGGCTATTGTGAAAGGGAGTGTTTCTACATACACTTTCTCTCATTGCTTGTGATTGGTATATAGAAAGCCTACAGACTTTTGTAGATTAATTTTGGTAACATGCCAGTTTACTGAAAGTGTTAATAATTTCTAGGAGTCTTCTGGTGGAATTTTTGGTGTCTTTTAGATATATCATATTGTCTGAAAAAAGGTATAATTTGATCTCTTGTTTTCCAAATATTAATCCTTTAATTTCCTTCTCTTGTCTTATTGCTCTTGAAAGAGTTTCAAGCACAATGTTAAAAAGGACAGCTTGGGCTACAGGGAGACCCTGTCTCAAGAAGACCAAAAAAAGAAAAGGGCGGGTAGAGTACATGGACTGCCTTCTCTGGTTCCTGATTGTAATAGAAGTGTTTCCATCTTTTCTCTGTTAGAATGAAGCAAAAAGAAAACCCACAGTGTGTGAGAAAATCTTCACCAACAACATATCTGACAGAGGTTTAACATCCAGAATATATAACAAACTGAAAGAACAACCAACCAAGAAAGGAAGTAACCCAATTAAAAGATGAGCTAAGGAGGTGAACAGAGAGTTCTCAAAAGAACAAATAAAGATGACTAAGAAGTGTCTTAAAAGGTGTTCAACATCATTAGTAATTAAGAAAAAGGAAATTAAAACCACTTTAAGATTTCCTCATATCCCAGTCAGACCGGCTAAGATCAAGAGAACAAATGATACCAAATGTTGGAGAGGATGTGGGGAAAGGGGAACACTCATCCACTGCTGGTGGGGCTGCAAACTTGTTCAACCCTTATGGAAAACAGTGTGGAGAACTCTTAAAACACTAAACGTACGTGCAAAAATCTTAATGTCAATTGTATTAAAAATGAAGTTTTCTGTATGAAACTGTGTGTTTTAATAATGAAATGGAGATCTTTTTTAAAGGTTAAAACCTCATTTAATTTTATGTCTTATAGGGTTTAAACTGAGTTCAATATTGTATAACTGTATTAATTCAACTGTGAACCTAAAAATTTACAGCCACTTCTGAAAGAGATGTATCTTTGCTCTGGAAATTGTTATTGAATATGTTAAAGCTGTGATGAAATGTTTCATAGTGACACATCTGACAGAGGTTTAACATCCAGAATATATAACAAAACAAAACAAAACAAAAAAAACTAAAGATGAACCTACTATTTCACCCAGTTATACCACTTCTTGGCATACACCCAAGGAACTCATTCTATTAAAGAGACACTTGTACATCCATGTTTGTTGTTATTCTTTTCATCATAGCTAAGATATGGAAGCAACCTAAGTGTCCCTCGCCTAACAAGTGGATAATGAAAATGTGGTTAATTATATGACGGAATTCTACTCAGCAGTAAAGAAAGATGAAATCATGAAATTTGCAGGTAAATGGATGG